TTTCCTGCCTGTGTGTGTAACTGTGTATTGTAATGCATCAGCAGCAGCGGATCCGTATCTCGGATTAAAAAAAAAATCTTGTCATGTTGTTCAACCTCATTTACAGGGGTAATATTAGTTCCTGTTTCAAAGAAATTCGGATCCGAAATTCATTAACGGAATTTCGTATTTCGGACATAAATTCGGAAACTGCCATTCGGATTTCGGATGCTCCGAAATTCGGAATTTCAGGAAAATTCGTACGAATTTCGATTCGTAACGAAACGAATCGCACATGTCTAATGTCTGCGTCTCCCCCTTACCCCACCTCCAATGGTGCCACATCCCTATTGTGTCCCCTCACAGGTGCAGGAACACAGTAGAGATGTCGGGGTTCGGACGGAGGAGCCGCAGTAGGCTTCTAACACACCTGGAAATATCAGCTGCTGAAGATTCCAGTGGCTGCTGTAGCTCTGCAAGAAACAGAAGATTAGATGCAATGGAGTCATGAATGGTGAGTATTATAAATTTGTATTGAAAATATTAAATTCACGACTTTTATTGAACATAATAAATTCTAATATTTTATTAAAAATTCTAAATTGTATATTAAATATTCTAAATTCTAATATTTTATTGAAGATTCTAAATTATACATTTTTATTGATAGACAGTATATAGCAAAGCGCCAGCGGCTTATTTTTATTGATAATTCTAAACTACTGTAATGTAAAATTATTGAAATTATTGAAATTCTAATGCTGTATTTCATTAAATTTAAAGACCTTTGCAGTAAAATACAAGGTCTGCTTATTAGACCCGTATAGCATTGGAAGGAGGAGCACCACAAAGCTTGAATAAGTCCAGTAATAATTTGATTTTTCACCAAACAGTAATAAAAAAAAAACACCATGTTTCGGGAACTCAAAACTCCCCCTCAAAAACTCCAATGTGCTGCCAGTGGGTTCAGCCACTGAATATAGATAATATGAGATCCGGGTTGCCAGACTAGCAACACCAACAGCAGTTTATTAGGTCTGGGTCTCTATAAAGTCTAACAGCACTTGCAAAATGTACCGGTAAAGAAAAAAGTAATATACTTACCTTACTGTAAGGTAACCAGGTCTACTGCGCATGTGCGTGGTCCCATTTTCCCCCCGTACCATAGGATGCTAATCTGGCACACAGGAAGTGATGCAGTACCTCTGAATTGATCTCCCTATTTAAAGCAAGCACAGCCTGGGCTTAGTTGCTGGATGGTCTTTCAGCTGTTCCCTGAAATTCTGTTTGCTCTGCCTGTTTACTGCTCCTGTATCTTGACCCGGATTGAACATGACTGCTCCTGATTGCTGCCTGCCTTCTGACCTTGGAATTGTTACTGGACCTTACCTCTGCCTCATCCCTTGTACTTCGGATGCATGACTGGTGTGACCCCTGGCTTGACTGACCTCGATTCTGCCTAATGCTCTGGTACCCTGCTGTCCGCCTGGTGTGGCCTTGATTCTGGACTTCTGCCTGGCACGGTGCTGCCCCATCCACTGGCACCCGTGCTACTTGCTGTTTCTCAGACTCTGTTCCCATCCTCAGGGGTTGGGGAACACAAGGTGCAAGGGGAGCCTCCTCATCCAACCAGTCTCCAGCCAGGTACGTGATACTTACCCTGGTCTAAAGCCCTTGGAGCTTAGGTGCAAGTGATGTCACGCTCCTCCATGCGAGATCCAGAGGAATACAGAGCAGCCCAAATCTTGCAATAGTTTGCCCTTGCGCTGGGCTAAAGTGTCTTCTCGTGAGATTTGGGGTATTTTTCACTCACCTCAGTGCAACGCAAAAGTCAGGTTAAGGTGAGTATATAATCAAAATGTATTTTTTTACAGGTACATTTTTCAAGCACTATTAGGCAGTGATTAGTACATGGTGAGGGGGCCCAGACCTAATAAGCAGACCTTGCATTTTACTCTAGGGTTAAAAAAAAAAAAATCTAAGAAAGTAAAAATAGGTAAATGTAACAAAATAATTTGAAAACACATACACACGAGTAGGATGCACATAAGTCCATATTGTACTACACACATTGAGTATCGCCAGGCATGGTTGAGGTGAAAGACTAATTTCAGTAGCATCATTTTAGTATAACATTTAATAAAATAAGTAATAAAGGTTGTTATAGGAAAAAAAGTGTCATACTTCTAGATCCTGGCATGAAGGTCTTTGTTCAGGCACTTCCTGGTATAGTCAAATAGAGAGTCCCACTCCTGACCGAGAAGCCACATACAATGCTGAAGTGGCAGCGCACAGAGGCGTCCCGAGGCGGGGTGACACCCCGCAGTGACGTAATCGCATACGCGTGTGATGTCATTGCGCACGCGCGTGATGACATCATGCGCTGTACCGCTGTTACCTGCCGGCAGCCATCTTGGTGATGGATGGCGGCAGAGAGAGGAGGGAACGTTCATCAAGCGGGATAAAGTATGTCGCTGGGTCCCCTCCTCTCTCTCTCTCAAGCAACTATCGGGCTCTCAGTCCATTCCCAACTTCTCGGGAGGGGCATTTTAGTGTCACCCCTCCAATGGTGTCACCCGGGTGCGGGCAGCACCCCCCTTGTGACGCCACTGACAGCCAAATACAGTACTTGCAAAACAGAATAAATGGTCACCAGCACTCCAAATTTTCTTCAAAACGAAATCCTTTTATTCCTTCTCACAGGTCATATTACTATGCGTGGCAACGTTTCGGAACCTGTCCGGTCCCTTCATCAGGCAAACAAAAGTGACTTTTCTTTTTTATTTATTTATTTATTAAAGTTTTATTAATTTAAACAAATAAACAGAACATAAATCATATAAAGCTATTCAAAGATTATTGAACAATTACTGAAAAAGGCACGTATGACATAAGAACACTCATGTCCAATAATATAAGAAAAATATTAAGGATTGGAACAAAAGGAAAGGAAGACAGTTAGACAGGGGAATGACAAATGGCAAAGACAAACTCTGGTTATGGTATTTGAACTTATTCAAATCATAAAGTACATGTGACTTTTGTTTGCCTGATGAAGGGACCGGACAGGTTCCGAAACGTTGCCATGCATGGTGACATGACATGCTAGAATGAATAAAAGGATTTTGTTTTGAAGAAAACCTGCTGAGTGCTGGTGACCATTTATTTAGTTTTACTTCCTGTTATAGGGTGACAACTCTCTCCCTGTCTACCAATTGTGCTCCTGCGTTGTCATTTAGGTACACCATCCTCCAATAGAGACTACAAGCAAGTGGCCGTTCAACACACCTTACGCAGGTATGGTTCACTGTTGTCACCATTAGCAAACCCGCTCTTAGAAATGTCATGCAGCTATCACTGAGGTCAGTAGCTGTGACATCATCCCGGTGCTACACATTGCCTGTGCAGAGAGCAGAGCTGTAGGAGGGACCAAGAAAGCCCGACCCACTACAGGCTGCCTGCAGAAAACTACAGGAAGGGCGAAGATAAGACCAGTCACCCTGCACAAGGAGAAAGAGCAGCAGTGAGTGGTCTTTGTTACAGGAAGCTCCTGCACAAAGTGTCACACTGTATTACTGCACAGATCTGGAAGAAATACACAAGGCTCACCAACATTCCAGGAAGAATACACAACTCTTGTATTTAGACACATTCATTCCTATTATCAGTGAATACTCAGAACACAATTGGAGTCTCTGTCCCCAGCTATGAGTCCAATACACCTAGCAGTTCTGTACACCAACACTGTGACCTGCCATGGATGGATGGATTGATTGATTGATTGATTGACTGATTGATTCATTGACTGACAGATGTATGGGTGGATAGATAGATAATAGATAGATGATAGATAGATAGATAGATAGATAGATAGATAGATAGATAGATAGATAGATAGATAGAATGTGTGATGAATGTGATGTATGTATGCATGGGTGGATAGATGTTGGATAGATGTTGTGTGATGGATGCATGGATGTGTATGTGTGGATTGATGTATGAATTGATGGATGTTATGTATGGTTGGATGTATGGGTGGATAGATGTATGGATGGATAGATGTATGGATGAATAGATGTATGGATGGATAGATGTTGTGTGTTGAATGGATGTGATGGCTGGATGGATGGATGGATCTGTATGGGTGGATAGATGTTGTGATGGATGGATGTGTATAAGTGGATAGATGTATGGATGGATAGATGTTGGGATGGATGGATGTGTATGTGTGGATAGATGTATGGATGGATAGATGTTGTGATGGATGGATGTGTATGTGTGGATAGATGTACGGATGGATAGATGTTGTGATGGATGGATGTGTATGTGTGGATAGATGTATGGATAGATAGATGTTGGGATGGATGGATGTGTATGGGTGGATAGATGTTGTGATGGATGGATGTGTATGGGTGGATAGATGTAAGGATGGATAGATCTTGTGATGGATGGATGGATGTGTATGGGTGGATAGATGATGTGATGGATGGATGGATGTGTATGGGTGGATAGATGTATGGATGGATAGATGTTGTGATGGATGGATGGATGTGTATGGGTGGATAGATGTTGTGATGGATGGATGTGTATGTGTGGATAGATGTATGGATGGATAGATGTTGTGTATGGGTGGATAGATGTTCTGATGGATGGATGGATGTGTATGGGTGGATAGATGTATGGATGGATAGATGTATGGATGTGTATGTGTGGATAGATGTATGGATGTATAGATGTTGTGATGGATGGATGGATGGATGTGTATGTGTGGATAGATGTTGGGATGGATGGATGTGTATGTGTGGATAGATATATGGATGGATAGATGTTGTGATGGATGGATGGATGTGTATGGGTGGATAGATGTTGTGTGATGGGTGCATGGATGGATGCGATGTGATGTGATAAACCTCAGCTGCAATAAAAAAGGGCCAGCATCACAGTGAGTGGACTACATTTCCCATCGTGCAGCTGGAAGGAGGCAGGCTATGCAGGGCTTGTTGCACGATGTGTCTTAGGATGTGGCTGTGCATGTGGATGAGCAGACCTGGGAGGTGCTTGTGCTCTCACATCCCCATCTAACCACCCAATGCAGTAAAAGCACAAGCACACACACTAATGGAAACCTGGAGGACACAATGCAGCGCTCAGTGTGACTGGCAGCAGGGAGACCCCAGCGGCACGATGAGGACATCGCTCTGATCGCTCGTAGGCACATGCCCGGATAGGTACCAGCCATGCAGACGGCAGGGTGCTGGGCTCCATGGATCTGCTGCGTGATTGGATGCGTCTATGTGGTCCATGGCAGTATCCAGCCAGGTAAGCCGACGGTGCGCTGATGCCACCTCGCCTGCTAAGAAGCCTTTGCGGCTGGATGCGCCATTACATCCCATGCATGGGTGATAGCTGCCTTCCCCTCCTCTCATTTCCCTGCAGAGCTGCTGCTGGTACAGAACAGCATCTCATCACTAACCTACAGGCGGCATCCTTCTGGCTGCAGAGGTACAGATGGTCAGCGAAATGACCAGAGGTGCAGATGGCCTTGTAGATGACCAGAGGTGCAGATGGGGGAGATGACCAAAGGTGCAGATGGTCAGGGAGATGACCGGAGGTACAGATGGGGGAGATGCCCAGAGGTGCAGATGAGGGAGATGACCAGAAGTGCAGATAGTGGAGATGACCAGAGGTGCAGATGGCCTTGTAGATGACCAGAGGTGTAGATGGGGAGATGACCAGAGGTGCAGATAGGGGAGATGACCAGAGGTGCAGATAGGGGAGATGACAAGAGGTGCAGATAGGGGAGATGACCAGAGGTGCAGATAGGGGAGATGACAAGAGGTGCAGATAGGGTAGATGACCAGAGGTGCAGATAGTGGAGAAGACCAGAGGTGCAGATGGTGGCGATGACCAGAGGTGTAGATAGGGGAGATAGATGTGTAGATGACCAGAGGTGCAAGTGTAGGAAATGTCCAGAGGTGCAAATGGTAATAGAGATGACCAGCGTTTCAGATGGTTATGATGATGACCAGAGGTTCAGATAATGATGGAGATGACCAGAGGTGCAGATGGTTATGGAGATGACCAGAGGTTCAGATGGTTATGGAGATGACCAGAGGTTCAGATGGTTATAGAGATGACCAGAGGTTCAGATGGTCAGGTAGATGACCAGAGGTGCAGTGGTGGTAGACCCTCTTTTTTGAAACCGTTCCACCGGATCACAGCCAGGACTGGGGTACCTCTGGTTGTGGTCACCATCCAGCACACACTGCTACTCAGGCCCAACTGCTACTCAGTGTCCAGTTGCTGGTTACCTAATGTGTATTTAGAGGATGCATTAACCCTTTTAGTATTAGGGAGATGGAGATGGAAAAGAAGAGGCTTTTTAACCATTACTTAATGGGTCTCATCTTTTTTTCAGCAGCTATTGAATGTAAAAAAAATGCATGCCATAGTAAGCAATTTGAAAAGTAGGTGTGAATCCTAACTGCATGAAAAGCACTGAGTATCATAAACAACGGCCTTTTCTTTTAACCCTTTGTGACTGCAATAGGACATTTTAAATCTAAATGTAAAAATGCCCCATGCCTTGAGAATGTGCAACTGTGTGTTCCTAGATCATAGACCTGCTGTCAGTCAGAAAAATTAGAGTTACTGTCAAGTTAACTAACGCATACCAACGCTGCCAAACTTGGCTTGGGCGTCTAAGCTTCAAAAAACTTTGGTCAGGAAAGGCTTCTTGGTGCTTCTGATCTCTTTGCCTCTTTGCGGCTGCTTTCTGACTACGTGCGCTCCAGTGATAACAGCATGGGATTTCTTTTGGGAAGTGGGGATGTTTGCTGATGGCGTACTGCCGCCGTAATATGTGTAGAAATGGCCTCTTGTAGTTCCCATCATGTGACAGGGTGACAATGCAGGAACACAGTTGGGAGGCAGAGACAGAACATTGTCACCCTATAACAGAAAGTGCCAGAATAAGGTCCATTATGGCCAGATCACAAGATCGCAGGGTGTTCCTTTAATGAAAGCTGCTTCTCCATCAATACGATCGAGGCCCACTGACATCATCATGCACAATTCTGGGCCCACAGCCCTGCATTATACATGAGGATACGGAGGGACAGTCCACAAGCCGGAGTGGAGGGGAGAGAGGCCAGCTGATCACCGAGGGGGCAGGGTAAGTTAATTTATTCACACAGGTACCCCTAGACATAAATGAGCAGTTAACCCTTGCAGTGGGGGGGGGGGGGGATGAAAAAATGCATGCCATAGAAGGCAATATAATGACAGGTATGTGTGCACATGCGTGGTGTTTAAAACGCTCCAGATACCTACAAACTGTCGCCTTTGTCCAACGCGTTTTCCTTCCTGTTCCGTTACAGGTGTTTGCAATGAGAAAAAAATGCTTGGCTCCCAGCAGGCAGTTTGATTTTCCACAAGGCAATTGCCAACAGCATCACAGGCTAATTTCTATGTATCATGGACGCATTTACATTGTGGTTCTATGGTGTTATCTTAGATAATGTGCACTGACCACATGGAATTACCATTACATTTAAAACAACAAATGATCATAATGCTGTAAAACTCACTGGAATGTTCCATGTGTATACTAACATAAAAGTGTAAACATTTCTTAGAAACTTTACAATGTAGTCAGATGCATTATGCAAACTTCCCAGAGCTGCAACAATCTGAATGTTTATTGAAATATTGATATTATTATGTTACATTATAATGTGCACAGCATACTTGTATATACTAGCACACTTCAAGTGGCACTAAACTCAGGAGTTACATCTTCAAAATGCATTCAGGCACCTTATTTATTAACAAAAAATGTATCTTATTTGTGTATCACTCGGCTGTAGATCCTCAAATCATCTCTGAATTGGTGCTGACACTGTCCCTCCTTCTGGAGGGTGACTACTTGTGTTCCCCATGGTCACTGTGTGTGTTGTAAAGTAGTCACCGCTCCAAGCTCACTCCCGTGATGGACTACAATCTCAATACAAATTAGTAGGGATGCACCAATACCGATACTAGTATCGATATCGGTGACGATGCAGGTCATCTAATTGACGCCTGCCGGCAGCCATCTTGGTAATGGAAGCCGGCAGAAAGAGGAGGGGACGTTCACCCGGCGGGATAGGGTACTGCAGGGTCCCCTCCTCTCTCCTGCAACTTGGCCATGACCAAGTGCCCGCCTTTCAGACGGGGTGACACCTCCGATGGTGTCACCCGGGTACCCCCCTAGTGATGCCACTGACTACTGCTGACCTCCTCCTGAAAATGTTCAATGGCTGCCTGTCTCTATGGTCAGTGCTTTGAGACATGGACCCAGAACACAGATACAGAGCAGCAAAGTCAGCGTCAAGGCTGATCTCCTAATCTGCATACATGTTTCAGGTCAGTGACTCAGACAGTACTGAAGCCAGTGGATCATCCAGACTATTAGCATTGGTGGAAGGGGTAGTATGACTCTCTCAGTGCAGGTTTCCTTAAAGCGAATCTAAACTCAAGAGCAAAAATGTACTATAATGCAGCTTACCTGTCCTTAGACTTATTTATATATATTTATGTATTATTTCGATCCTGCCAGTAATTAGGGTGACAACGCTCACTCACTCTATTGTATCGATTTACAGTGTTGTCACCCTAGGATTGGAAGTGTTTTAGTACTGCAGAACACCTCCTCCTCTTCTCTTCGATTCCTGCTGAATCAACCAAAATCCAATCCATGGGTAGTCCTGTCGGCACCACCCGTCCTGACAACTTCAATTTGAAAATCAAAGGAGCTGGGTGGAAAATTCTCAGCCGTACAGTGATTGTAGCTAATCAGATGCAGTGACTGTTCGGATATCCTGACAGCCACTGCTCCCAGCAGGGAAGATTCCTCCATCAGTGCCAAACAGCGCAGGAAACGATTCCTCTCATTCAGCTGTTAAAAGGGGGTTAAAAAGACTAGCAAACAACACAAACATGACAAATATTCGTATTTATGGTGATGTATAAAGTTGGTAAGTTTCTGTAGAAGATCAGAAATGTATTTTGTGTGTGCACGAGAGAGGAGGGGACCCAGCCTCATACCTTATCCCCCCAGGTGAACGTCCCCTCCACTCTTTGCCAGCGCCCATCACTAAGATGGGTGCCTGCAGGTAAGTGCGTGTGATGTCACGCACATGCGTGATGACGTCCCAGCGGGGGGCGTCATCGGTGGCCGCTCCGGGGTGACACCACGCCTCAGGACACCGCTGGTCCCATTGGTGAGATTCACTATCTTAATTTGTTCTGGTGATCAATGTCACCAAGACAGAAAGTGATGGGAAACTTTACAGGGAATGAGGATTTCCTTCCTGGTATATCTCCAGGGAAGGAAGTGAGAAGAAATCTCCCCGGTGGTCCGACATATCACCAGCACACCAGGTTTATATTAGAAGATAGGACACTTTAGTGTCCATAACAGGAAGTGGGGATTCAAGGCCTATAGGTGCTGAAGAGTACTGATGTGCCCCTGAAGCCTGCGTATGCTTGGTGCCGGTGCAGAATACATTGCGGTTAAACAGTCTGCGACTGGTAAAATCAGTCAACCAGGGGTAAGCCCTTCCCTCCTGGTAATTTTGGGAGATGATTTTATATTTATCGTGTTTTACCTGTTTTTTGTGCAGCAGTACACCGTTCTATTTCAGAGCCAATAGTCTATAGTTCTTGTGGTATTTTACTGTCATCAGCTCTCTTCTTATCAAGAGTAATCTCCAATGCAACAATGTTTCTATTGACATGGATTAGCCGTAGTTTCAGTTTCTCATTCACAAGTAGCATAAAGTGCAATGGGCTGCACATCTTACAGGAAGCCCCCAAAGGGCTGCCCACCTAGACAGGGCCGGATTCCCCACAAGGCCACCGAGGCCCGGCCCAGAGGGGGAGCAGAGGGGCGGCAGCGGTGTGGAATCCCCCCACGCCCAGAACATGCAGTTCCGGGCGGGAGGTTGTTTTCTACATTTAGCCCTGCTTTGGGAAAGCAGGACTAAATGTAGTGTGAGTGAAGTCACCGGCGATCACTTGCAAACAAACACCACCCCGCACCTACCTCTCTGGCTCTGTCCTCCCCGAGTCTCTCTCCTCACTGGCCGCCGATGCGGGGAGCAGAGCGGCATGGTTAAAATTAACCCTGCTGCTCCGTGTAAACAGTGAGAGGGGAGAACAGTCTTCCCCTCTCAGCTGTTCCAGTAGTTCCAGCACAGTGCTGAGCTAGAACTCCTGTCCTGGAGGTGACAGGGTCAATAAAGAGAACCTGTCACCCCCAAATGCTACCACACAGGGGCTTGTTAGCGCCTGTGTGATAGCGATAAAGTGAGGTGAAAAATAAAAAATTGATTAAAAAAATTAAATAAATATAAATAAAAATACAATAAGTAAAAAATAAGAAATAATAATTCAATTAAAATGTGATTAAAAAGTAAAAAATAAATAAAAATATACAAAGTGATAAAAAAAGTAAAAAAAAAATAAAGAAACAATAAAAATGTTTTTAAAACTACCCCTGCCTTCCGGTTGCCATTCTCCATTGATGGGGAAAGTTGGGGGGGTTGGTGGGGAGGGGGGCGCTTTGCGAAAGCTGGCCTTGGGGCAGCAGGGAGAGTAAATCTGGCCCTACACGTAGACAAATACTTACCTTCCTCCTCGATCCAGTGGCCTTTGCTGTGTGGTCCTGGCCGATGCAGTAAAGCCCTTCCAGCAATGGCAGCAGGTCTTCCTCTCAGTGTGCAGAGTACGATTTGCTCATAGGAATGAATGGGGCCACAGCACACATGCACACTAAGAAGAGGACATTTATGATGGAAAGGCTGTGTGGCACTGGAATAGATTGCTGGATCGAGGAGGAAGTATTTGTCTTAGGGTTGCCACCCTTTCTTCCAGCAAAACCCGAACACTCTAGCGACGTACGGAATTTTTTTGGGAGAATGAGTTGCGGCTTATTCATATGTAAATAGCGCCACCATTAATATGTAAATATCACAGTCAATACTATTTTCAGTGGGGGGTCAGTAGCCCCTATGTTAATTTTGGTTGCCCCTGTCTGCCTGACATCTTTTGTCCGGGTTTCAGCTGCCATGAGACCCGCACACAGCATTCAAAACCCGGACTGTCCAGGTGAATCCTGGAGAGGTGGCAACCCTAATTTGTCTAGGTGGGCAGGACTCAGAGGTGTGTGGGAAATTGATTAAAGGACAGTTGTTCATTGCATGTCAAAATCATTAGTGAATTCAGAGACAGGGGACCTTAACTTATATACAAATCTTGACTTTTCCTGTAATAGCTGAGCTCATCTCGGACCCATACTGCCTCCCAGATGCCCTACTGAGGCTTCCTAAACCAATACAGATGCTTAGGAGGGCCTAGAGGGCTGACAAACGTCAATGCCTGAAAGCCTGAAAGGGTTTTTAACCATTCTCTACTCCAGGGGTCCCCAAACTATGTAAACAAAGGGCCTTTTTAATATCCTCCAGACTTTAGAAAGGTTTGACTGTGGCCAGCGGTAGAAGAAAATGCTGAAGGCTAAGTTGTCAGTGGGACTAAAAATGCCTCAGGGTTGGTGGTCAGTAGGAGTAAAAAATGACCTAGTTCTTGTGGGCATTGGGAGGAAGAATATGTCCCCATTGTTGCTGTTAATAGAAGGAATAGTGCCACATCATTGATATCAATGGGAAGAATAGTGCCCCGTCATTAATAATAAAGGGAGGAATAGTGTCCTATCATTAATACCAATGAGAGGAATAGTGTCCTATCATTGATGCCAATGGGAAGAATAGTGCCCCATCATTGAAATCAATGGGAGGAATAGTGCCCCATCATTGATAACAATGGTAGGAATCGTGCCCCATCATTGATATCAATGGGAGGAATAGTGCCCCATCATTGATATCAATGGGAGGAATAGTGTCCCATCATTATATCAATAGGAGGATAGTGCCCCATCATTGATATCAATGGGAGGAATAGTGCCCCATCATTGATATCAATGGGAGAAATAGTGCCCCATCATTGATATCAATGGGAGAAATAGTGCCCCGTCATTGATATCAATGGGAGAAATAGTGCGCCATCATTGATATCAATGGGAGGAATAGTGCCCCATCATTGATACCAATGGGATGAATAGTGTCCTATCATTGATATAAACGGGACGAATAGTATTCTATCATTGGAATCAGTGGGCATATAGACCTCAATGTGGGAGTTTTTGGAAGGAATTGTGCCCATCATTGGTGTCAGAGGGAGTTGCTCCATCAATGGTTTCAAGTTGGATGAATCATGCCCCATCATTTGTGCCAGTGGGAGAGAAAGTGGCCCATTGTGTCAGTGGGAAGAACAGTGCCCCAAGGACCAGATAAAGGCAAACAAAGAGCCACAGTTTGAAGACCACTGGTCTACAGTATCCAAAACTCCCCCAAAAAATGGGCTTAAGAATTAGATCACATAGAAGCTAAAGCTACATTAGTTCCTGTAGAACTGCTGGTGATAAAATGGACCTTTATATATGAAAGAAAAAACAAGAACCAATAAAACCCTGATCCATGTTTATGTCATCGTGAATCTGATTTGCAGTTCTGGGGCAGTGCAGGCGGCTATTGTATCTAAGTGCTTCTGTGACACTTAATTGCATTTGCCCAGGTAGACTCCTTTGGGCCCTCCAAAGCTCTCCATACGTTTCCAGCATTAGGAAATCACATTGTTGTGTAAGTGTGTTTTATCTGACATTATCGCTCTTCCTTAAATTGTATCTTTCATTTGTTTGGCAGATACCTGGGTGACGGAGATGCACAGGAAGAAAGAAAACAGATTCTCGGGGAGGGAAGACACGGTCCCCCTGCGTCTGATCTTCAGCAGTGAGCAGGACAACCAGACTGGCCAGAGTTTACTCAGCACCCGGGTGAGGACGGACAGCTCCCAAGACAAGGTATGTATGCTGATGAGCTGGGCCATCGCACAACTGTTGTTACCTTGGAGATTTGCATTAGTTTTAGATGGATGTACTGTACACAGTGAAAATAGAATCAGGGCCAGGGTATGTAGGCTGCATTAATAAGCAGTGTCCCTGTTTCCAGGCATCAACACGTCATATATATCAAATGTGTCTGAAGGCAAAACTGTCTGTATTGCCTCACCCAGATATCCTCTCCATTTCAGATACTAAACCCCTGGTGCCCAACCTGTGGCCCAAGGGCCCTTTGGCACTTATTGTGAGGCCCTCGGGGGCCCTGTAGACAGTATTTTGTGTTTTAGTGCTTACGTAAGTGAAGAAAGAAAAATCTTTACATCGACTTCTAGATAGTTTTTTTTATTTTTTTTTACCTCTTTTATAATGAATCTTGCAGAGAGAAATATCAAATGTCAAATGGAATAGATTTTGTTATTTATCTTGAGTGCCTAATAGCTTTTATTTGTATTTATTTACTGGCGCTGATCACTTATTGTTTTAGTCAAATGAAATGGGCTGTAGGGAAGACAAAAGTGATACCTTTGATTTGTAATAGGGCCAGTGGCGTCACAAGGAGGCTGCGATCCGCACCAGGGGTACACCATTGGAGGGGTGACACCAAAATGACTGACAGTCATTTTGGTGTCACCCCCTCTAAAAAGTTGGGCACTTGGTCATGGACCGAGAGTCTGACAGTGTCAGGAGAAAGGAGGGGACCCGGAGGCATACCTCATCCCGCCGGATGAACGTCCCCTCCTCTCTCTGTGTGTGACCATAACCAACATGTCCGCCGGTGGGGTGTCACCCGGCCTCCGCTCCGGGTGATACCCAGCCTTGGGACGCCCCTGAATAGGGCTGTACTAGCAGTGGTCTCTAGCATTCTCATGTAATATGTCTGTAGCTGTCTCCTGAAGAATGCCCGGCCTCCAACAACTCCTAAAGCATGTTTTCAGTCTCTTGGACCATCTCTTGGAGTCTGCCCATAGCCTCTAACCATTTCCTGTTATATGTTGGCAGTCTATGAAAGCTTTCTGTAGCATTACATACAATTAAAATTATGTGTGGCCCTTTGGTGATGCCAGGGGCTGGATTTGAGGTCCCCTTTATCAAGTAAGTTGACCACTACTACAATAAGCGCTGCAATCCAGGAAAGCAGGTGTATACATGATTAAAGTGATACTGTCTTACTTGGAAAAAGATTCAAATTCATAACCCATTACTAAAGCTGGATTAGGCTGAAAACGCAACAATCAGATTTTTACAGGTCTATTTTACAAAAGGGTGGAGAGTTTGGAGAATGTATGAGAAGTGAACAATCTAGGCCAAAATAGCTGAACTGGAAAGTGAGCTGAATTGGAGAATGTTTCCAAATCAGCAATTTTTGCCTACACTGTTCACTTCTCCTTCCTTCTCCAAACTCTTCACCCTTTTGTGAATAACCCTATTAATGTTTTGGGATACTTAATAAAGACATTGGTCTATTTTTGGACAAAGATGGTGATTGCCTGCGTTTGGAGATTGTGAAACTCCACTGCAGTTACGCTGCACAGTTGGTTCAAGGACCTGTCCCCAACCTGCTGATTGGATAATAAAGGAGCAGAAGCACAATGATGAGGTCATGTCTGTGCTCTCCACTCATGTAAACATGGATTAGATCAGGGGCGCCCACAATTTTTCGTCTGGAGATCTACTTTTCAAATGACGAGCTCAATGAGATCTACCAACGAAAAAACACCTGCATTCAGGGGCGGACTTTGTGGTGTGAACCGAACCTCTCTCCTGGCTGTCTTTTCTCTCTCTCCTTGCGCTCTCTCTCCCCTGTTTCTATCTGCTGTCTCTTCTTTGCCTTTCTCTACTCTCTCCTCTCTCTCTGCTGTCTCTTCTCTCGCTCTGCAGTCTCTTCTGTCACTTTCTCTGCTGTCTCTCTCTCTGCTGTCTCTCTCTCTCTCTCTGCTGTCTCTCTTCTCTCTCTCTCTCTGCTGTCTCTTCTCTCACTTTCTCTGGTGTGTCTCTCTTCTCTCTCTCTCTGCTGTCTCCTCTCTCACTTTCTCTGCTGTCTCTCTTCTCTCACTCTCTGCTGTCTCTTCTCTCATTTTCTCTGCTGTCTCTCTTCTCTCTCTGCAGTCTCCTCTCTCACTTTCTCTGCTGTCTCTCTTCTCTCTCTCTCTCTCTGCAGTCTCCTCTCTCACTTTCTCTACTCTCTCTCTTCTCTTTCACTCTCTCTGCTGTCTCTTCTCTCACTTTCTCTGCTGTCTCTCTTCTCTCACTCTCTGCTGTCTCTTCTCTCATTTTCTCTGCTGCTGTCTCTCTTCTCTCTCTCTCTGCAGTCTCCTCTCTCACTTTCTCTACTGTCTCTCTTCTCTTTCTCTCTCTCTGCTGTCTCTTCTCTCACTTTCTCTGCTGTCTCTCTTCTCTCTCTGCTGTCTCTTCTCTGACTTTCTCTGCTGTCACTCTCCTCTCTCTCTGCTGTCTCTCTCCTGTCTGTCTTTTCTTACCTCCACTGCAGCAGCTTCCCAGGCCTCCTCTTGTGCAGCGGCGTCCTGTCCTCCCATGGTGCTTGTGTGGCCGAATGTGCAGACTGGGAGAGGTGTCCCACCCCTTCCCGTCTGCGGCATCTGACACATTCAGCCGCACGAGCACCGCGGGAGGAAAGGACACAGGTCAGGGAGCCGATCACGATCTACCAGTGTTCGCTTTGCGATCAACTGGTAGATCGCGATCGACCTAATGGGCACCCCTGGATTAGACTGACAGAACTGTGCAAATGATTGGATCCATGACTAACTGAGATTCCTTCCTGTCTGGGGATTATGCTAAACTACACCAAAAACAGAATACAGATATATAAGTTTTTGTATTTGTATTCTATTTTTAACCCCTTCGTGGCCAGATGCCATGCATGCCTTGAAACCCAGACCAAATTTAGCATCATAATCGACATTATGTGTTGATTATTTTGACAATAACTATGACTAATTTTTCAAAAATGTTTCTAGTCTCTCTTTTTAGTTTATGATACGTAGGCTTTGGTACAATGATTTAATAAACACCCATGTAAAGGGTATTAATATAAGTGCATTAAATTGTTTTGTTTTTATACTTGCCCGAGGTCCAGCTATAATATACAAGGCCAGCTGCAGCCACGTGTATAAACTGGCGCAGGGCTGTCGCAACTAATCAGAGGCCCTAGAGCAATATGAGATGTGGGGGTGTGAAAGTGATGTTTATTGCTCTGTATGTTACCAGCTTCTGGTCTCAGTCAAAAGAATAACGCCAATTCCTCGTCTTTTATGATGCTAACCTCTTTTTGCTGAGACCACACAGTGGCAGCCTTCGGTTCAGTGATGCTTTGGATGTCAGTAAATATATACCATCAGCCTCTGGTGTCTATAAATGTACGAGGATGTTGAGACATATTGGAAAACATACCGCCACCCTTTGCCAGTTATTAAATATATAACCCTGGAGCCTGTAGTTATGTGCTACAGATCTTTTATAGAAAACTTATTTTTGTTGTTGTTACTTAGAAGTGGACCTTTCAGCAACTTTACATGTATGAATTTGTCCCTGACATGTCCCAATATACAGCAAAGGTATTCTTATAATTATTTGTAACAATCTCAACTTGTTATTGTTAAAAAGCAGTCCTTGAATTCCAGTCAAGTGACTTTGCCTAGGCTGTGATGATGTCATCAGTCTGCTGCAGGCAGCAGGAAGTGTTTCCTCAATCTCCTCTCCCTCAGGGATCGGACTGCAATATTGTAACTTAGTAGCAAGCTAGTCAACAGTTCCCTGTGCAAGCTCAGCCAGAGAATGTTGGACCATGAATGTACCTACAAACATACAAGCTTCCTCTAATATCTGTATTCATCTTTAAGCCAGGTATACAGACTTCAAATTTCGTCCAGTCCTTGATGTACCGGCTGGAGTTTGCTGCGTGGGTGCCGCTGTCAGCACCCTTCCGCCCGACATCCCTTCATCAGCTGATCAAAGGAGCCGGTTGGAAAATTCTCTTCAGAACAGAGCTGGCAACCATATTCTGACAGCGGCCAATTCAATGCAAATAGCGGGGGGCGCGTCCATCATCGTAGATGGAGGAATCAGTTCTATTTTTTTTTTTATTCAGCCGGTGGGTTGGACGAAAAACAAAAAGAGAACCATGTATACCTGGCTTTAGTCTCACAGTGATCATAGGCTGATCAGGAAACTGTGGACACCATGTGGGTAACTGGTCATTTTTTTAAGGTTTGGCTAAATCATAAGGGGTGTCATTTTATATTAAATTTAGAGGATAAAATTCCACAAAAAAGTTTTCCCCCAGAGAGACGTGGGTTGCCTTTCAGTTATTAATTTGCCACTCCGGGAATAACTTCTGGGCAGTGTTTAAAGCATTCCACTCCACTGTGGGCATGTAGGTGCCCAGATTGGCTCTGCCCAGTAGGTGCACAGTAAAGCTTTGTGTATGCAAAAATATATTGGATGTGTTGGATTATGTAATGCTGCCTGATGTCTTTTTGCAACTCTAATGTCCCACCTAGCTGAAAATAAAATTTCTGGGAAGATCCTGGTGTTTATATTGTAAGACCGGCCACACTTGGCCAGACGATGGCAAGTGGAACATTACTTGCCCGTCCTCACACAAGTTTCCTGGCTGCTGAGACCAATTATGATCATCTTCTGAAGCATAGGAAAGGGAATGATGGGCCCTCCTTAAATTATGGAGATTGGAAAACCTTCTATACTATCCTGAGAGCCTCTGACTGCCTTAAACTCTACCTAGTATCACCAAGTACATTATGAATTACCTAATAATCTCAAGCAATGCTACAAATTTTGAACAATCTTTAGACAACATAAAGGGTCAGACTACCCAAATTGGAAATTTCTGTTTAATAGCTGCTGAAGAGTTAAACCACTGAACAGCTTTTTAATTATTTCGAGGACTTTACTAATAATATCTCTGTGCTGAGTTCTCGGGT